CTGTGCTGTGTCTGCGTGTGACCCACAGCAGCACCTGCTGCTCTCCATGGTCCTCAGCCTTGGGTGTCCCATTCAGGATGCTTTGATGACTCCCTCATGGAGGGGTGGTGATAACATGGCCAGAGTGGTTTGTCCCCATGAGCCTGAGACACATTAACCTTGGGAGTTTTGGGAGGACTCAAATAGTCTGTCACCTTCGAGGCAGGGGCCGGGCTTCTTGGCTAGGATAAGCCTGTGGCCAGGAGTCAGGGCAGCACTGCTGGAGGGCGGTACTTGCAGTGCCCTGTGTCCCTGTGGCAGGGAGAGGGGCCTTAGGCCGGGGTTTCCGTGGGAATTTCTGCCCCATCAGGCCCAGAGACACGAGCCGTTCTGCTAGGAATCGCTTTGCCCCTTCCTAAAGTAGCAAAGGTGCTTTGCAGGTGTCGAGGCCAGCGGGACCTGATCCAGCAACTTGCACTTGGGTGTTAGCCTAGAGTCTTGCCCAGAGCCTCCTGGTCTTGCCCTGTGTTTCTGCGTCAGTGCACAGGTGTCTCCCAAGGGACAAGGCTGTCCCCTTTGGGGCCAGCTCCTGAGCCAGAACAGCCCTGCCAGCTGCTGGGCAGTTCATTCCTGTGGGGGGCAGCTGCTGCCCCATGCGCAGCACCCGGGCCAGCCCAGGGCAAAGTCTAGGCGCAGCCTCAGGAAGGCTACGGCTCCCTGGGATCCACGTGGAGCCTTGCAGGCTGCACTGGTGCTTCAGGATGGGAGATGCTACCCTGGGCAGTGCGGATGCGCAGAGGGAGCCGCTGGGATCCCAGCACTCCTGTCTTGCCAGGCAGTGTGGTGCAGTGTGCAGGAACGACTAGGAGCAAGAGCAGGGCAGAGAAAGGCTGGCAGCCTGGAGACGAGGGGCTCGGGAAAGGTCTGGCCTCGGGAAAGGTCCTGACGCTGGTAGGGGTGTCTCAGGAGCAGCGCCGGTTGTTGAGCCGGTGGCTGGTATGCAAGTCACACCGCTCCCCACAGCAAGCACTGCTGGAGCTGGGAAGGCAGAGGGTAGCAGAGCTCCACGGATCCCTCTCTGGAACATAAAGTCGTGCGCTGCATTCCGCAGAAGTCCAGCCCCTTTTAGGGCTGCTTTCTTCTTCAGGCTGAAGAGGCTTTGGGTGTTTCTCCCTACCTCCCAGAGCAGATGGAATTCACCAGGCCAGGCATCTGAGTCCCAGAGCAATTTCTATAGCTCTTTGAGCTCTTCTCCACACTCACCTTATTTTTCCTGCACTTCCAGAAATACACATGCAAGGAGCATGTGCAGTCTTTTGGGTGTGTCCGCACCTGCGCACCAGCCGCAGCATCACACAGAGATGCTGCCCATTTTGCTTTCCCCTACACTTGATCTATAGGGTTGGCTTGCATGCAACTCCCTATGTAGAACATATTTGTATTTGCCTTCACTAATGTATATATTTTGTGCATATGGTTTGTCAGGCAATTAGGGAGGTCCCACGGATCCTCTCTGTGGTGGTTTTTGTAGTCACTGACACTTCAGCAAGGGGAACACACAGGAGTGCTGCTCCTGATGCCCTTGGTTGCCTTCCTTGCCGAGGTTTGTTAGCCCTGTCATAAATACTTATTGTCACATTCTAGTGATACGCAGAGTGCCACTCAGTCGCTGGGTCACTGAGTGCGATGTCAGGTGTCTGTCAGGGCCCCAGCAATGTCACGGCTGCACCCTTCCTTTCGCAAGATTACAAAGAGGGTGGCTTGAAGATAAAATCCTGGCTCGCTGCCCAGCTGCTCCATGGTGCCCCAGCTGGCTGGGCCCCAACGTGCTCTCCCTTGGCAGGAAGGCTGTTGAGGGGATCGTGGCCCTCAGCGAGGATGGCTCCTCCCCGATTTCCATTCAGCAGATGGCATATGGTGAGTGGCGGGCTCGGCGCAGAGCCAGAGGTGGCCCCGTTGGGTGAACCTGGGCTGTAGGGCAGTGCTGGGCCTCTTGCCGAGAGGAAAGGGAGGGTTCTCGTGCCGAAAGAGGCTGGGGTTGGGGAGTCCCTGGGTGCGGGTGGCCCTGCGAGGCTGCGGACGCCCTGGGCTCCGGGCCTGACAATGTCTCTGTCCTGGCAGTGGCTGGCGTGGGCTTTGGGCTCATGAGCGGTGCCTTCTCCATGATCAATCTCCTGGCAGATGCAATGGGGCCCGGCACTGTGGGGATCTATGGGGACTCGCAGCTCTACTTCCTGACCTCAGGTGAGTGACAAGCCTGGCCCTTGTCCTGCACATCCAACACCTCCACTGCACTCATCACGGAGATTGCACCCCATGCGTGATGGGCTTAGCGCCCCATCCTCTGCCCTTCATTCTGTGCTTTGCTACCCCTCCCCTTACCCTTCCTAGCCCCTTAGAGCCCCCACCTGCAACATCGTCCCGTACCAAACCCTTCTCTGTGCCCTGCTACCCTCCCTGCTCCCTATCCCGTCCCTCCACCCTTGGCGTGTGCCCAGCAGTGTCCCCGCTCCTCTCCCCGACCTGGCTCCTCTCCACCCAGCCTAAGCCCACAGGTCAGGGCAGGTGACTCTCCTCTGACTCCCCTCTGTGCCTGTCCCTGCAGCCTTTATGACCATGGTGCTGACTTTCCTTCACACCTTCTGGGGGATCATCTTTTTCCACGGCTGTGAGAACCGACGCTCGTGGGAGATCGCAGCCGTTGTTGTGATGCACCTTGCAGTTTCAGCATCGGTGAGTAGCAGGGAGTGAGCAGAGGCCTGTGCCAGGGGCCCGTCATGAGGGGCGGCTTTGGTGCGTGATGGTCCCCATGCCCAGGGAGGAACAGCCTTTGACACCAGCAAAGGTTTGGGAAACCAGGTCTGTGTGGGACTAGTCCTCGACAAAGGCAAATGCCTGGAGTTGATTTCTTCTGTCTTGGTGCTTGGCAAGGCCACAGACTGTGGTGATGCCACGTGTGCCTGTCCCACCCAGCCCCTCACCGGAGCTGCTACATGAGGGGGAAGAGAGAAGAACAGGACACGATGGTGGCTGTGCCCGCCTGTCAGGGCTTGGGAGATGCCTCTCCCGTCTGCTCACACCTTCCCTCTCCTGCCTGTCTCTCCCAGTCATTCTGCAACCCCGTGTACGTGGGCAGCCTGGTGCCCTCCTACGTGCTGATGGCTGTCGTCGCCACCTGGGCCTACCTGCTCTCGGGGGGATCTGCACAGAACGTGCGTCGCTTCCTGTTCTGTAAGTCCTGTTCCATAACAGGGCTTGGTAGCTGGCTGAGCTGGTCCCTTCTGGACTACCTGGGAGGAGCTGGGCCAGTGATGAGGGGCAGGGGGTTGCCTCGATCAGAGGCCACAGTGAAGATGCCTTCGCTACCCTAGACATGTTAGGAAACTCTGGTTTGGGGCCTTACACAGGTTGCCCCCCACCATGTGAAACAATTGGGGTAAGAAGTTTGCCCAAGACTGTGCCCTCTCTTTGTCCCCACAGGTTTGCCGAGTGGAGCCAGCCCTCAGGCAAGATCCTGAGGCCCTGCAGGACGTTCCTGTCCCCAGCCGCCCCCTGCCCTCCTCTCCATTCTGTCGGCGAGAGCGGCCATCACCTTCTCTGAAATATATTTTCTCCTGGAAGGGGGGAGAGCGGCCAGGCCCTGGGGGGTGGATGCTGTGCTCCGGGGCCGCCTCACTCCTCTGCCCCTTGGGGAACTCCACCAGGACAACTCTACTCGGGGCACTCAGCTTTGCTGGCTCAGCACTTGCAGACACTTCCTGGGGCTGCTCAAAGAAACCCACTGCTCCTTCCCCCACCACAGAAGCCCTACTGTCCTCCGTGCTGGAGGGGGACATTGCTCCTCTGGCCACACGCTGTGGTGCCGCTTGTTCCACCTGTGCATGGGGAAGACATGGCCCCAGCGCTGGGTGGTGGTAGCTGCAGTGACTGGGCAGCCAGCCTGGGCAGGGAAAAAGAGCAGGGGAGGCTGTGAAGGGGGCATCACAGAGCCGGCTGGAGTGCGGCTGAGGGATCAGGAGGACAAGTCACCCCGCAGGGGTGCCTGCACAGCTGGGGGTGGGGGGTGGCTCAGGGACCATTCCAGTGGATCATTGCCCTCTCCCAGGGCTGCAGGGGGATTTTTCAGAGCAGCATCAGGGCTGAGGAGGTGCTACAGGACTGGGAGGCAGAAACTGCCATCGGGCTCAGAGCTGGGACTGCAGCTTTCTCCGCAGTGGGCTTTTATACCAATAAAGAGATGTAGCGGAGGTGCCTGGCAGCGGTGTTTTCCATGGGCAGGGGCAGCAGCTCCCTGGCTGTGCCAGGCAGGTCTATGAGGTGGAGGATGGGTAGAGCTGGGGAGCAGCAAGTTTGCATTGCTCTTGGCACCCTCCAGGGTTGGGTGTGGGCTGAGCTGGAGGCTCCGGGATTTCTCAGAAAGGAGAGAGGTCCTAGGCTTCGTGGAGAGCTCTCCGGAGCCTCCAGCACACAGAGAGGGGAGCAGGGTGGGGGCCACAGGGCTGGTACTGGCCTGCAAGGGAGCACAGGGACTGCCATCCTGCATTTCTTCAGCCTTACCAACCCCTCACTGTATTTTTCCATCACTTTATACAAATAAAAGGAGGAAGAAGGCCCAGAGGGATGAAGGGCAGGGCCAGGCGCTGCTAGGAGCCCGCTGCTGCTTGCTCTGGACCTTTGCCTGGGGCAGGGAGGCTGCAGCTTTCTCTGCTGCCTTAAAAAAAAATGCCCTGGGCTCCCTGTGCCATGGGGCCAGCTGGTCTGGCACCTTTTCCTCTCACCTAGCCTGGAATAGCAGAGGCAGACCTGGCCCTATACCATTTTTTTCTTTTTTCTTTTTAAACACATTTTTATCTTTTTATAACAAAAATATGTGCTGAGGCCAGGTGCTGCCCCAGGTGAGCAGTCTCTGTGCCAGGTCAGGGCAGCAGAGCGGTTGCTGGAGCGACAGCCCTCCCGTGGGCCGGGCAGGAGTGAGGTCTGGGGGCGGCAGGGCCAGCGCCACTGCAGCAGCAGCACATGGCTCACACTGTGTTCTCGTTTGTGGTGGCTGCTGTGTAGATGACCTTGGATTTAGTCAGATTGTCCAGCCTGGAGGAGGAGGAATGGAGGTAGGTTAGCGGGGTGGGGGGAACCTCCAAAAAAGCACCACTCACCCTCTTTCTATGAGACTAGCACTCTCTGGCCCTGATCATCCCCTGCTGTCCCCTGTCCACAGCAGAGATGCACGCATCCCTCTCTCCCTTGCCTGCAGCTCCCCCCTGCATCCCATTGCTCACCGTGTGTTCTGGCTGCGGTGCTTGTGGATGTAGAGCAGGAAGGCCAGTGCTGTGACAGCAAAGAGCACCCCGAAGAGCACGGCCAGCACGTCCCCTGCAAGCGCAGGTGCGTTACAGTGGGCATAGTCCCCTGCAGCTATGGGCCGAGGGAGACAGGGCCAGGCTGGGAAAGGCCAGGAGCCTGTGGGCGGAGGGCAAAGGGGACGCAAAGCCAGCGGTCCCAAAGGGATGTGCTTACCTGCCTGGAATGAGCTGCTGTGTTTTCCTGCACTTAAAACATGGATGCGAGAGAACAACTGTGAGACCCCAATGCACAGATGCTATGGGAAGCCTAGGACAGCTCAGCACCCCGCACTGTGGTTGTCTGCCCCTCCAGCTTAAGGGCACAGCTGGCAGGTTCCTTCTTTTCCAGGCAGGTACCACCCCAAGGGTGCATCACCCACCTCCCTCCTCTGTGCCAGCAGCCTAGGGCTCTCATCTCCCTGCTCCTGATGAGCTGTCACTACCTGAAAGGAACACAGCACAGTCAAGAGGTTGCCTAAGGTGTTGGGGAGCATTAGGTCTGCAGGGCTAGGTGTAGCATGGGCAAAGCAGGGCAGTCTGCAAAATCTGCCACCTTCCTGCAGCAGACAAGGCAGCACTGCCCCTTTGCACCCTGAGCAACTCGCAGCATCCTGCCCAGCCCCATAACACCGGCAGAAGCATCGGGGAAGGAAAAAAGAGAGCTGAACCACCACCTGCGGGGAAGACTTGCTGAGCTCAGACAAAAAGCATCTCCCCGTGCCCCACACGTCACTCTGTGCCTGGGAAGCAGCTGGTTGCGGAGCTGAGCGGCACTGCAGTGTCCCATGGCCGCACAACCCAGGCAAGGGCCCAGGAAGAGCACCTGGCTGGGCGAGATGGCTCCCGGAGCCAGGAGAGGGGTGAGAAAACCCCTGCTCCCTGCACGAGCAGCAGGCCCATCACCAGCGCAGCAGTACCTGTGTGTGGAGCCTGGCTGGGCTGTGCCCCTGTAACATCTGGAGAGTATCCACCATCTGTGGCAAAACGATGGGACAAAACTCAGGCTCATCTCTTCACTGCCAGCAGCTCCCGAGGGAGAGGTGGCAGCTTGCAGGGGCTGGCACGGCCACCTCCGTGTCCCCACAGGTGTTTCCAGCAGGGCACCTGGTGCAGGGACGGCTCAGCGGGCTCAGACTGCACCTGGGCCCTAAATGCTGGGTGGGGGCTGTGCCAGGCAAATATTTACCCGGCGCTCTATAGTTGCCTTTAAATGGCTGCATTATTTCCTGTACACGTGTGTAGCGCGCGCAGGGTGGCACTGCTTGTGGGCCAGCAGGAGCCGGCGGCTCAGCCACTGCTGTGACCTTGTTTCCTGCGGCAGAAAGGGCTGGGGCTGCTTTGCTCAACTGCTGGTGACTCAGGAAAGATCAACAAGCATGGGGTGAAGGAGGCACAGGGGACAGCGAAGCGGGATGTGGCTCTGAAGCTGAATAAGCGCTTCCCCCCAGCATTCAATAAGTCCGGCGCATACAACAGCCTGTTATCAGAGCAGAAGTGGGAACAAATCTCAATCACCCCATGGCACACAAGATGGGGGACCAAGTAATCTCATCCAGGACTACTGGGACACTGTCCTGGCACTTGGAACTATAAATCCAGGAACAAGGACTTCATGGATTTGTTATAGTCAGGGTTGTTTGATTTCAATAGCAAACAAAGAAAGAAAAAGCTAAGCTGGACAACTCCACCCCCTCCTCTAAGCTTCAGTAACTAAAGACTTTAGAAAAGCTTCTATGAGAAAACCATAAAAGACCTAGAGGTAAATAGAAAATATGATAAAATGTCTACTAGCAGGTTTACCAAAGATAGAGCATGCCAGCCTAACCCGATATCCTTCTTTGATAACTGATATTCTAGACAAAGTGAATGCAGTAGATTTTTATCTCTCCAGATTTCAGTGAAGCATTTGATGTGGTGCCACATGGGAAGCTGCTCATGAGGCTGGAGAACAGCAGGATTGAAAGCGGAGGGCCAGTAGAGAGCTGGCTGCGGGGAGCCAGGAGTTGGAATGGAGAGGGAAAGTGACACGCCAGCATGTGGTTACTTGAGGTTTTCCCCAAAGGCCTGGGGCCAATCTTGTGTTCTACTTCTGTTAGTCACCTTGACATGAGTTGTGGGAATAGTGATGTTAACTACGAAACGCCACTAGAACAAGAAAGGAACAGGATGTTGGACAGAAAAGCCTGAGTGACCTCGAAGTACAGAAACAGGCAGGATTTCAGTGCTGAAGTGATAGTCACACTTGAGGACTAACAGGAATTTCTACAGAGCCACAAACACGTAGTTGGAAACCACCAGTGCAAGAAAGGCCTTTGCAGATGAACCAAGTACAAGGGGAACGCTAAACTAAATTTATCTACTAGATTTGGGGATCAAAAAGCTCCAAGCACCTGACTGCCTACAAAAGTTAGCTGTATGCCCTTACACTTACCTCATACATACTTCAGCCCTTGTCACTATTGCTCTACATGACCAAGGACAAAAAAATACTCCTAGGCACATCTTCCCCATGCAGCACAAGACAAGTGTCCCAAATAGGAGGGATGGGACCTGTCTAAGTGCTGCTCTAAGTCTTCTGCTGGGCAAGGCAACCCATGCAAAAACTGCATTTCCATAAGCGAAGCAAAACCTGGATTCCAGCTTCTCAACCTGCCCCCCTACACCTGTACCTGACAAGCAGAGCATGTCCCACATCCATGCTCTCCTTACCAGGAGGCAGCTGCTTCACCAACCAGAGGGTGGTCTGGAAACTTGCCAGCACATGTCATAGAATCATAGAATGCTTAGGGTTGGAAGGGACCTCTAGAGATCATCTAGTCCAACCCCCCTGCACACGCAGAGTCACCTAAAGCATGTGGCACAGGACTGCATCCAAGCAGGTTTTGAAGATCTCCAGAGAAGGAGACTCCACAACCTCTCTGGGCAGCCTGTTCCAGCGCTCTGTCACCCTCACTGTTAAAAATTTTTTCCTTAAATTCCTGTGGAACTTTTGGTGCTTCAGTTTGTGGCCATTACCTCTAGTTCTGTCAGTGGCCACCACTGAAAAGAGACCAGCACCATCCTCCTCACTCCCTCCCTTGAGGTACTTATAGACACTGATCAGGTCCCCTCCCAGCCTTCTCTTCTCCAGGCTGAACAGGCCCAGCT